GGGGGTCAAAGTTCCTAATAGGTTATCTGGTAATGGGTAACTTGATGACGCATCTGGCTATCTGGGCTTCCTTAGGGCCGGTTTCTCAATATCGAGTCACCCCCGGGTTAAGCATAACTCCAGGATGAACATTGCAACTGGACACGTTTACCCTGGGGTTAAAACTAACCCGGAGCCGACTCGCTATTGAGAAACCGGCCCTTATAGAGATTTGCAATATGTTGAGGCACCCCAGATGACGTCAGCGATTTATCCAGGCAACCCAAGGATTATCACTTTATACTACTACAGGATAGGCTATCCTCATGAAGCCTGTGTGGAACAAATCCCCCCTCGCCAAATCACCAGTTGTGACGTAGGCAGCATGTTATTTCTCGCCTTGACGTAGACTGCTTAAACAGCTGACGACTTAGTTATGACGTTGGAAATGGTGATTACCAAAAAAGAGGCCGATAAGCAATCCTGTAGGTGTGTATCATCCTTGCAGGGCAGGCAACCTACCTCTCTCAAATAACCTTGAGCGGGGGTAGTGAAATGAAAAATCGAAACGAAAAATTCCGAAGAAAGTGACGACATCAATGTGACTCATCGAATGTATTGATCCTCCAGTGTCTCTCTCTCACTCCTATTCGCTTTCTTTCATTAGACCATCAGACTTTCCTGTCTCTGTTTTATCCTGGAGTGCGTTCAAAAACACCCTGGCACACCAGGGTTGCGTTCGAGAATCTAATCATTGGTGTGAAAATTATTTTAATGAGTGAGGGTCCGACTCACTTCGGTGTGTAAATCCTCTAGGTTTTCAAACGATGACCGGGTCGTTTATGGTTTGTTAATGTGCTTATTCAGTAACTAAAAATTAAAAATACATTTCTGGGGGGGCCCGGGCCCCTTGAGCCCCCCCCCCCCGTAAATACGCCACTGACTAGATATAATCGTGAGGAGAGAAGCCTCCATGAGAGCCTCGAGAATAATGCAGTCCCTAAAACTAAAGGAAGGGGAAGACAAAACCAGTTGACGACATGCAACAGAGGTACGAATTTGAACACTCCTTCAAAGTGACTATTAAGGGCCGCAAGGGAGAAAATATCGTACCTGTATTCTCGAAAGGGTCATCTGTCTGGTATACAGACGGATCGAAAACAGAGCAAGAAACTGGAGCAGTAGGGGTATTCGGCCCACTTCGTAGACTATCAACAGCCCTAGGAGAAAGCCCAACCATATTTCAAGGGTAAATATTCGCAATAGTAAATTGCGCTAGAAAGAGACCTGTGAAGATCTATATCAATTCCGACATTCTGGCAGCACTAAGAGCTCTGAGTATGCTCTGTCAGTAAGTCCATACTGGTATGGGACTGCCGACAACTCCTAAAGCAACTGGCGTCTTGCAATAGAGTCACCCTGTCATGGGTACGAGGGCACCAAGAAGTCGAGGAAGGAAATAGTGGATGAACTTGCAAGACAAGGAGCTGCAACTCCATACCTTGGACCTTTCTTTGGCATTGCGAAGAGCTAAAATTAAGTAAAGGCTCAACTAACCTCTCGCTGGAACACGCTTCCAGGACAGGCGAAATAATTCATCTCGCTCCATTCAAAAAAGGCAAAGGAAACCTTAGTAAAGCGGATCTAAGACTGCTTACAGGCTTCCATACGGGTCACTGCCCTCTCGGTTACCACACCACCTGTAAAATATGGGCAAAACAGAATCAAACTTTTGAAGCTTCTTACAACTAAATATAAGGGGAAGCACAATAGGTAATAGATATAATCAGGTCCATAATCTAAACACCTCAACTATCACAATCTCTTTGCCTTTTTTTGGGTCAAGTATGGCAAAGGCTTGGGATTTTTTTTATTACGAATTTGCGGTAGGTACGAAGTTCTTCAATGTTTTCTAGACTTTGAAGATCAGATCTGGCTGAAATCTCCGTCTTCTTAGTTCTTACAACAATACCTTCAGCAGCAATGAACATAATATTTGTTGCTTGTACCTGGCAAAGGAATTTCTCTCTGTTAGCGTTCGACTTAAATTTCTGAAGTAGGTCGAACACTTTTTACAAGTCATGCAACTGTTCCTGCCATATTTCTGATAACATCAGCAGATTCTTATAAATCCGAATGGTGGTGATATACGTTTAATCTCGACCCTCTCCAGCGATTGATATTTGCCAATATCCGGACTGTTAATCTTATGTGGAGATGTGGAGATTTATTTCGTTCGTTTCGTTTCCTCTACCATACGTGGCATTGGATACTTGTTGTCTATTCTTATGTTATTGGAGCTTTAAAAATAGTCGCTACACACTCTCACTTTACCATTGCATTTTAGAACTATGACAACAGCAAGAGGGCTCATGTATTCTTAATCTTCTTTAGCAGCTCTACGCTTTTTTTTGCCGTTAAAAATGCATTTCATCAGTTTCTTTGAAATTTCTCGTTTGGTTTTCTCAAGTTGGTAGGGTGGCAAGGAAGGGAATTGCGATTGTATTAGGTTGGGTTCTTACATGCAATATGACAAATTTCGTAGCCTCAACACTAGACTTGTGAATTTGCTCGTAACATTTTCTCCAGCTGATTCTGCTCCTCCAACAATGTCATAGTTCATTCAATAATGTGCAAAGAATTAAGGTGAGAGGTGGCTGGCTAAGTAGTTTCATTGGATGATCTATACAATTTCCAGAAAAGTAGGTACCTACCTACATTTCTTTTGGTGTTCGCTCCAAAGTGCCAAGATTGGTTTGATAGGTCCAACACAATTTCAGAATTTTTCATAAAGTCAACAACATGTAGGGTATATTCAGCATTAGGCAGAGGCCAGAGCTAGAAAGTCTTATCTTCTCAGTGGATATCCATCTGCTTATGTAGGTAATTGTGAATGTTTCATGTTTTTCAAATCTATATTATATCTGACGGTTTCTTAGCATGGGGCGAGTTTTGTAAAATAATTTTGGTGAAGGTAGTTGCCTTGTTTGCCAAAACTTGGCACTGGCGTAGCTGAGTGGTTGATACATTGACTTGAGATGAGCTGATGAGTGACGGGTTAATCAGTTTCTTGAATTGTTCATTGATTGTTAATTGATTGTTAAATTGTTGATGATTGTTAAATGATTAAAGTTGTAGTTAGGTTATAGAGAAAACCGAAAATTTCTATGGAAAGCAAAATTAGATTAATAACAATGGTTGAAGGTTCAAGTTCACAAAAGTCCAGTTAATAGGTAAATCCACACTATTTATTGATGTCCCAGTTGAAAATTCAAGAACTAGGAAAACCCGAACTATTTATTGAAGTCCAAAGTTCAATGGATAGGAAAAACTCCACTATTTATGGAAGTCTCCAAGTTTAAAATTCAATAAATAGGAAAAACCGCACAGTTTATGTTTTATAAAAAAAACGTTCACAGTAATGTTTTTCAATAATTTCGCCGATATAAGTAAGTGCAACAAATTAAAAACGACCTTAAAAATGTAGCAATAAATAATAGATAAAGGCAATATTAGTGTACCTATTGTAAATTGCTGTATATATATTGAATAGTAGGTTCCTTACTGTTATAAAAATTTGTTGGTATCAAGTTCAAATACAAAAACAGTGGGTAAATTATTCACTGAATTTTGAAGAACAAGGTATTTGTACTTCTGGACTGTATTTAGGCAATGCAATAAACTAGCAAGACTCACTATAGTTTCTTCCTCTAGGTTTTATTCATAAATATGTACACTTTGCAAACAAGATACAACCTTACGGAAAAATAAGACATGAGAGAAATTCTCAGAAACAAGTTGTACATCCTGCGTATCTTATTGTTTCATTTCATCTACTTCCTTTTCACCTTTTCTCGGATTTTCAATATCTTCATCACTCGCTTGTTTCCCTGTATATTTTTGCTTGTATGCCTTATTCGTCTTGGCTACTTCCATTTTAGCTTTTCATAGATTGTTCCAATTTTGTCCCACCATACCTTTGGCTTATTTGTCTCGACCATTCCAGCTATTTTCGTTTCTTTTTCTGTTAGATTTTCAATGTCTTGTTTCTCTGTATCTTTTTGTCCATAACTCTTATACCCGGTTTCTGAACCACAAGATATCCACTGTTAAATAAATTTATGGAGAGATAAAATCGTGTAATAATTGGAGACATATTTCTCTCTCCATAACGTTTTATGGGTCAGAAACCGGGCATTTACCATTACAGGAAATTTTTGTTCTCCTGTCTTGTTTCTTTATAACTTTTAGCTTACTAGTCTTAGTAATTTCAACTAATTCTATTAGAGCCATTGGAGGCAGTGCATATTCTTCATAATCACATATATCAGACCTTTTTTTTTTCTATTTGAAAAGCAATTAATTGATACCTATTGTATAGGTACCTACTTTGGCAAAACCATGTCAAATGAAGAAGTAGACCCATATACCAGTCCAGGCTTACTTAGCTGAACTGCTGAACCAGTATTTGCTTAAGTAAACCCAGTATGCAAATATTCAATTTTGTTTCTAAGTTTTGTTTGTATTTTAGACACAATGAGAGTAGAGATTAAGCTATATCATTGATCAGTTTAAGTACCTTTATCCGCTCGCAAGGCCGCCAAAAAGGCCAGATAACCAGTCTTATCATTAGCTAGAATTAGCTTCTACGTCACATATAAATAAATTGGAATAAATCAACTATTTTAGTCAATTATCTACCAAAAAACAAAAATTAAAATAATATATTTGAAATAATTATTATCTATACTAAATTGGATTGGAACTTAATGAAGCTTGTTAGTGCTGCTTGCATAATCATACGCTAATATGTGTGTTGGTACCATTAAGTAATATACCGTTAAGATTTTTTTTTCCTGCACTACCAAGCCAAGGTAAACGGGGATTTGAATTTCACAAATAAACTGGTACTCGCGCTCATATAATATCTATACAACATACTTTCGATGAAAAGATAATTTATTAAAATATTTGCCAATAATTGTTTTCAATGTAGAAATTAACCGCTATTGATTTTTCAGCTTGGGACGGATAGACGAACTCGGCAATCTTCAAAAACTGGCTGAATCCAGCGTGGTCAACGTACCCGGTGCCATACAGGACAGTTCTCCAGATACGCCTCAGCCCAACGTTTACGACCTGAAACAGGGCTGGATAAATGGCATTTTTGGCTGTCTCAGGCCTGTATTGGGCATTATTGGCAAGACTGTCGTCGACACTAGACCGGGACAAGGTAATTATGCGCTTCTATTTTACATACAAATTAGAACGAAAATTATTTAATGTGAAAACGTCTCCCATCGTATTATTTATAATATTTTAGTTCAGCAAAACTTTAAAAATCAGGCCAAAATAAACTTTTTCCTTGAAATTATCAGCCCATCTGCATATTATCATGTTTATTTACCTACTTATCAGCCGAGAGATCTTTCCAGAGTCTTTTCTAAGACTTTTCCCTTAATGGAGAATATGCTTTTTTATAAACCTTTTATGAGACCTATTCAACTGTGATGAATCGATATTAGATAGTTAGAGCTTTGCAACTTTCGGGGCAGCGTCGGTTTAAATTTTACTGTAGCAGATGCATTAGTGGAGAGTCCATTGGACTGTTTCAAAAGCTGGTGGAAAGCAAAGAAGCCTTAATAGAAGATAAAATAATAATAATAAATCTACTTAAGGAAGAAATTAAACTACTAAAGAAAATAGCCCAGTTTGATTCAGGGCCAAAAGAATTTGGATACAGTGCAGCAGTAAAAAATCAAAAAGATGAAATTTTATTAGTAAAATCTAATCATGCCAATCAAACTAGTGAAAATACAAAAAGAAATATTGAAGAAAAAATAAATCCGTGCAATCTAGGAATGGGTGTATGAAATATATTTGGGATAGGGGAGCTGCCATTAAATATCTTAGGGGAGAAAAAGAAAATGTAAGGGAAGTCTTAGACACATAAAGGAATCTATCTATCTATCTATCTATTCAGCCTGCTTCAGTCCATCTTTGGACGTAGGCCTTCCCCAGTCTTCTTCATTCCTCTCTGTCTATTGCCATGTTCATCCACCTAGTTCCAGCGTGCTTCTTTGGGTTATCAGCATACCTCATCTGGGGTCTTCCTCTACTTCTTTTATTCTCCCAAGGTCTCCAGCTTAAGATACATTTATTCCATCGGTCGTCTTTTTGTCTGATATTGTGACCTGGGAATTTCCATTTTAATTTTGCTACCTCCTTTCTAAAGTCTCTTACTCTCGTTTCATTTCTTATCCACTCGTTCCTCTTTTTATCTATCAGTTTCACATGTAACATTTGTCTTTCCATTGATCTTTGTGCTTTTGTTATTTCATCAATGTTTGACTTTGTAAGTGTCCATGTTTGGGATCCCTAAGTGAGAACAGGAAGTATACATTGATTATCAACTTTGGGATTGAGTGTGGATATTTTCTATTTTTCAAGATGTAGCTTAATTTGCCGAATGCTGCCCAAGCTAATCTAACTCGTCTCTTGAGTTCTGCTGTTTGGTTTTCTTTGTTGAGTTTAATAATCTGTCCTAGATATATATATATATTCGTCGACTTGTTCTATTTTTTCCTGTCCTATTCTGATTTTGATGTCATCGTCTGTGTTCGTTATTGTTTTAGTTTTAGCGTAGTTAATATTGCGACCTATGTTTTTAACTGCTATTTCAAGTTCTTCCAGCCTTTCCGTCAGTTCTTCTTTCTTATCAGTTAATAGGGCGATATCATCCGCGTATCTATCTTAAGTTGCTCAAATGTTGCATATTTTTATACCTTTTTCTTCCAAGTCTAGTTTTTTAAAAACATCTTCCAGGGCCTGGTTGAAAAGTTTAGGTGATATTGTGTCGCCCTGTCTGACACCTCTTCCCATGGGTATTGGTTTTGTCTCCTCACGGATTTTAACAGTTATTGTTGCTTCGCTATATATGTTGGTTATTAGGTCTGTGTATCTGTAGTCTATTCTGCTATTAATTAATGAGCTCTTTACTGCCCAGTGTTCAACAATATCAAAAGCCTTTTCGAAGTCGATGAATGCAATATACCGGGTGTCTACGAGATCAGTTTCGCGCTGGCATTTGCTGTTTTTTTTTTCGATGGCAAAGATTTTTGGTATAGAGTGTAGGTTTGAGAAATGTCATCTTTTGACATGTGTGTCAATGTTTGGTAACTTCCAGTTTGACCGGAAATGGTCCTAACTTCGTAATTTCGAATGGCATCCCAAGAATTTTTTCTCATTTTTGGTATCTGCGGATCATGATGTGTACGAAAACGTCAAATTTGAACATTTTTGAAGAAATCTTAGAACTTTGGATAAAAATTTATTTTTGAATAGAAAGTGACAGAATGGCCTTTAAACTGTTCCTTCCAACTCACACGATCGTAGAAAAATGCGAATGCCAAGTTGTTATCCTTTACTTGTTCTCCAAAGGCTTCCAAAGTTGAAAAAATCACATTTTAAGTGATAACTCAATGAAATCAGTGAAATCGCCCAACTTTCACAACAAGAGATTTTTACCTTTTTCAAAATGAAATCAACTATGCAATAAAACTTTTCATTTATGCCAGTTTTTAATTATTTTCTCGTTATTTTTATTATGCACTACTATAAATGATGAAACTACTTTTAAATGAACCCCTGTTTGAAAAAATGCTGTCTAAAAAGAGCTGGTGGTCTTTTTTCACTTGTCAAGCCATTGACAAGATCTATGGACAAGATATGTTTGTTTGCATAGACATTTGTCATTGTTTGGCATCTCGGGAATTTGTAAATACAAAGTTTGAATACAGGGGCTCATTTATGAGTAGTTTTATCTTATCATTTATAGTAGTGCATAATAAAAATAATTAAAAAATAATTAAAAACTGGCATAAATGAAAGTTTCAATGCATTTGGAAGCTTTTGGAGAGCAAGCAAAGGATAACAACATGGCACTCGTATTTTTCTACGATCGTGTGAGTTGAAAAAAACAATTTAAAGACCATTCTGTCACTTCCTATTCAAAAATAAATTTTGATCCAGAATTCTAAAGTTTCTTCAAAAATGTTCAAGTTTGACGTTTTCATACACATCATGATCCGCAGATCCCAAAAATGCGAAAAAATTCTTGGGATGCCATTCGAAATTACGAAGTTAGGGCTATTTCCAGTCAAACCGGAAGTTACCAAACATTGACACATATGTCAAAAGATGACATTTCTCAAAGCTATACTCTATTCCAAAAATCTTTGCCATTGAAAAAAAACCCAGCAAATGCCAGCGCGAAACTAATCTCGTAGACACCCGGTATAGTGGGATGTGATATTCGTTGGCTCGTTCTATTAGGATTTTCATGGTTGATAGGTGCGGTCACTTGTACTGGAACACTTTCTGAAGCCGCCTTTCTGCCCTTTCGATTGGTAACCATCGAATTTTATTGTTAACCTGGTGGTGAGAATTTTTGTGAAGAGCTTATAAATTACATTAAGGAGTGTTATAGGTCGATAGTTTTTTAAGTATGTTCCTCTTTATTTCTGATTTGTTTATTTCGGGTTGTAGTTCTGAGTTTACATTCTTTATTTTAGTTTGTAGTTGTTTTACGGTTTCTTCTGGTGGTTCCTTTTTTGTTTGATATAGTTCTGTATAAAAGAGTTGTGTGATATTTATAATATCCTCTTTCATATTAGTTTCTACGCCGTTCTTGTCTTTTATTTTATTTCGTATTTTCCTAGTGTCGCTCTTAGGCATTTTATATTCCTGTTATTCTCTATGACTCTTTCTATTTCTATTTATTGGTTCTTTCTTTTGTTTTCTTTTATCATTTTCCTGATGATCTTATTGATTTCTTTGTATTCTATCGATTTCCTTTTCCCTTCTTCGTTCAGTTTCCGCCTTCTTTCCATGAGTTTCTTTGTCTCTTCTGATATGCAATCTTCCTTCTTTTTATCCTTTTTTTGTGCGATTTCTTTTCCTACCCTAACCATGGTTTCCGCTAATGTATCGTATATTTTATCTATATTTTCATTATCGCTGTTCAAGTTCTGGGTCAGTTGTTCCTTCAGTCTCTCTTTGTATATGGTTTTATATTGTGCAAGTTTGGTCATGTCCAGTTGTCCCTTGTTTCCAATAGTTTTTCTTTTCATTTCAAAGTTGTCATCGATACGTATTTTTGTTCTGACCATTCTGTGATCGCTGCCTGTGATGAATCTGTTCAGGACTGGTGGTCAGTTTGTAGTTAATTTCATTTCTCGTTGTTCCATTAGAGCTGAGCCATTTCCACTTTCTTTGCGGTTTCTTCTTATAGAACGAGTTTATTGCATATAGATGTTTTTCTTCTAGATAGTTCAGTTCATCAAGGTAGTGCCCCTATCGTTCCTCTCACCGTACCCAAAGTTCCCGATTTTTGTCTCTTCTTTATTCAGCTTCTTACCAAGTTTCTGAAATCTCCAATCACTACAGTAAGGCGAGTTTTATGTTCTTCCATAGCCGTTGAGATATCTTCATAGAATATTTCGATGCTCTCGTCGTCATATGTTGAAGTGTACACTTGAATAATTTTAAGCGACGTTCTTTTCATTTTAAGTACGAGATAAGCAACCCGATCTGAAACTCCCTTGATAGTTTGGATGTGTCTACTTATCGCTTTATTTATAATAAATCCTACTCCAAAGTTACTGTTGTTTTCGTTACCTTTGTAGTATAGCAGGTTACCGGAGTTCAATTTTATTCGATTTTCTATTTTTTTTCGAGTTTCTGACAAGCCTACTATGTCCCACTTTATTCTTGTCAGCTCTTCCTCCAGTTCATGTATCTTGTCGTCAGTGTTCATTGATCTAATATTGTATGTTCCTATTATTAGGTTGATTAGTTTCTGTGATTTTTGTTGTGTTAGTCGTTTTCGTGGGGTTTTGATCTTTGTTGGGAGCGAATTTTGGTGTGGGAGTCGGGAAATTTCCCACCCACCTGGGGACCAGTTCCATTTGTTTTGAAATTCGCCATGGTATGTACAGGGGGGTAATGGCAAGTAAAACACCACGCTTGCCAGGCGGGTTGGTGAGTTTTGATTCAGCCGCCCATTCTGGAACAGACGCTGCAGTGCTAGTTTTGGTCCGCCCCAGGTATTTAATTTCCCAGGTACCACTCATATCTGAGAGAGAGCTGGGGAGGCGGAAGATGGAGGACTAGCAAACCTCACACGGGATAAAGGAATCACTGGGAGAAAATTATGAAGTGAAAATACCAAAG